GCCCCCCCAGCCCACTCCCCCCAGTTATATACTGAGCATGACATCATATGGTCTGGATCAGCCCTGTGGCCGGTCGGGGTCAGCTGTCCTGGCTGTGCCCCCTCCCAGCTTTGTGCTGGCAGAGTCTGAAGGAAGCTGAAAAGTCCTTGACTGGTGTAAGCCCTGCTCAGCAACAACTAAACCATCAGCGTGTTATCAACATCATTCTCACCCTAAATCCAAACCTCAGCACTATGCCAGCTGCTATGAAAAAACCCCAACCTCTACCCCAGCCGAAACCAGGACAATGGGATGGGAGTGTAGGTGCGCAGGGAAAATCCCTCATGTGCCCCTGTTTGTGCTGTGGTGAGTGGTCTTTGTTGCCATGTCCTCGGGTAAATTCTTGGATGCGTTGTATCCAGCCTGTCATTGTCCTGCTCCCACCGCTGAAGTTTACTCTTGTAGGGACTGATTTTTTTCTTTAATGACAGGGCCGGTAACTCGAGCTTCTCTCTGAAGAGAAACACTTGTTGGGGGAGGTATCTCTGTTCACTCCAGCTTTTGTGGGTGAGTCTCAGTTTCACTGCCTTTAAAGGAGTTGTTTGTGCTCTGGCAGCATTTCTTTATTTGTGGTGTTTCTCTGTTGACATTTTTATTTAAATTACTCCACATGTTGCACTCTCACAGAGTCTGACCTTTTCCCTGCGTCGCATTCAGGCTAATTTTGAAGGCTGATATGAGCTCCTTCATTTTTCATATTTACCTAATGATTCAATTTGCTTTCATGTGGGGATGTGTATCTATGCATTATCTATCTAAATGGCATTCATTTATATTAATAAATAAAATGAAAAGGTTTTCTGACACAGACAGGGGTGTTCCTAGTTTCGCTTAAAGAAGGAAGACATCGAGCAACCCAGGCGAGTAAAAATGTGTGCAGCAAATGGAGTGTAATGGGGGCTTGCTGGACGAGCTGTGCCCTGAGCAGGCTCTGGAGGCATCTGCTTGTGTCCCAGGGCTATCAGCAAGCGCTTGTCCAGACAAATTTCTGGGAAAGGAAGATGGGGAGGGAAGGAGGGAGCCTCTTCAGGTGTCTCTGACTCAGCACAGGGTAAGCTTCACTTAATCCACGATAAGTGTCAGTCGGAATATGTTTTAAAGGCTGTTACAGCACCCCTACAGCACCAGGAGAATTTATGTTAGTACCAAAATAGCAGCCTCGCTTTGTCCACAAGCGAGTCCTGCAGTGGTGGAGGAGAGAGGCTGTGTGCATGGTGGTCCCCGTGGCTCGCTGGTGCACGTGCAGCCACGTGTGTTCTTCCTCCAGTGCTGAATCTCCTCAAACAGGGGAAAAAGCTGCATCCGTTCAAGCAGGAAGAGTTGCTGCCACAGGCGTGGTCCAGAAATGGTCTTCAAGAGCCCTGTGTTTGTTCCCGAACTGCATGGGAATGTGTATTGGTAGCAAACGAGGGTCAGTGGTGACCACGCTGGATGGCGCGGTGATTCAGGCTGTAGCAATGCATGAGAACAGGCTTCCTATTGGCAAATCCCAGCACGGCAGTCAGCCCGCAGG